TATATTTATAATACAACACCACACACACACACACATGTACACACACACACACACACACACACATATATATATATATCTACATATATATGGTTTTATATATATCATCCGTAAAACAAGAACGTGACTACAAATTGAACACACGTGATCTGTGAATGTTGATGTTAGAATGTTGGTATTGTCTACGTTGTGATCATTCGACTAAAGTCTAATTGCATGATCTTTTATCTCCAATTTTATGTGCAATTTATCTCACTTACTTATCTTGTAAAAACATAGGTGTGTACACGAATCAGTATAATAACTTACGCAGCCGACGACTCCCGCAACATGAGCACCGAATCCAAGTGTTAACACACCGGTTCCCAGGCCAATCTTAATTAAATTCACACTGGTCGCTATCTGCCCACTGCCACCAGATTTGTATAAAAGGATGTTCTCGCTCGAATAGCGATCCTCCGAAACCAGTGAACCTTGTGATACCAACAAGGGGCGAGTGTCCTCGCTACCAGACCTCGTGCTATCCATTTTTACTTAAATATAAGCTTATATTATTTACGTGTTGAAGTATAGTTATTGGTCGGTCTCACCAGCCACACCAAACACGCTCTTTCCCTACTGCGAAATGTGCGGACTTAACTATATTATATAGTAGTATTTATATGTACAGCATTATCTCAATCAGAATTGTTCCTTGACAGTTTTCTCCTCAGGTTGATTATTGATAAATTTTTACTGTACTGAACTACTGATAAATACATAGCTTCTCACGTTGGTGATTTCTTCCTGGCGAATAGGAAACGTCGTTGAGTCAGTTTCAGATAAACAAAATTGCTCAATATTAACGTATCTCCTTTATGTTTATTCTCAAGTCTCAACGTTTACTTTGGGTTGGATCTATATGTTTGATATTGGTTGAAATTTAGCTTCACATGTGCAGTAATAGGGCTTTTTCAGTCCAATTGTTTGGTATATAGGTGAGGCACTTTATGTCCCACTTTTACAGTTTACGTTAAACGTATCTTTTGAAAAGTGAACTACCACAACGTTGCGGGGGAATTTACCCAGCGCAGCGAGAGATTTGAGTACATATTTATATAACCGAAGAAGAGTATTTTCTAAAATAAACAGCAGTGAGCAGAGCACTCAGCAGACGACGTCGACCACCCGACTCCCGAGCTCAGTTGGCTAGACCGGCCCAGAGCCCCAGACGCCTCTGACGCGGTGACGCCAGTCTTCACTATTCACGCGTCACAACTCGCAAGCGGCTAAATAGTATTTTTGTAAAATAAAAAAAAGGCCCGGATTTGGGTCTCGAGCGAGTCGAGCCTCTCGAGTCTCGAGAAGCTTCTCTATACATATATAATTTATTTTATTTTAGTATAAATATTTTTAGTAATATTATTACACGACCGTGATTTTTTAGCGCAGAGCCGCAGACCCTCTCTTTCACACACACACACAGAGAGAGAGTGTTGGGAGAGCGCCATAAAAAATTACTTAAGTACATAGCCTGACAGATGACAGTCTGACAGACACTGCTGACTTGAACTTCACATCTACATTTCTGATTGATTCCTCTTGACGTATTGGACAGTGTATTATATTTAATGTTTGTTCGAAGATTTAGCACTTTAGCGGCAGTACGACAGAAGGCCAAGTCCCGATCACGGTCTGCTCGCCGAAATAATGTAGTGCAGCACAACAAACCGAACAATATGCGCGAGGGTTCGTTGTCGGACAAAACACCTCCACTCGACATGAAACGAGGAGAGGTGGTCAACTACAAAAAATGTCGATTTCAAGCCTTCGTGTGTCGGGGTGTAAGGGATGAGAGCGACGTTAAGACTGCACTAGCTGAGATACGTTCAGAGAAAGCCGTTGCTAAAGCGAGTCATCCACATATATACGCATACATATGTCCGCAAGGTAGTATGTCGGATTGCAACGGAGAGCGTGGCGCGGGAAGGGTATGGGTGGACTCTTGAATCTGTATTGCATTTAAGTCAAAACGGTAGACAGATTCTGATAAACCAATATATATATATATATATACACACACACACACACACACACACACATACACACACATACACACAACAAACACACACACACACACCACACACACACACACCACCCACCACACACACACACAC